TAGCTTGAAAACAATATATTTAGGCTGAAGCTTTAAAACACTTATCCTTTGCTGCCATCTGTTGGATAAATTTAGTCTGTGTTGTTTTCTACGCATGTTTTCTCTGCCGTACAATTCATTGATAACAAAATGTACATGGTGATGGCGTTTTGAGCTTACATTAACAAAACTAAAGCAACACGGTCATTTTGGAGTTTTTTCATAGAGATACTGTAATCTTTATGAGTATCCCATAATATTTAATTGCAATACCAGCACAATTAAAAGTTATAAAACTAGCAACTACTCTGTGTTATGTAAGTTACTTTTTTGTTTAAAATATATTTGAAAAAATGGCGGATTTAGAAGCAACCTCTTGCCTTTAGTCATCTTCTCATGCAATACACAATAAATGCCTAGAGCATTTTACCGGGCAATACGGATATTCGAGTTCTCACAGAATCTCCCATTTTGAACTTTTACATATCTGATAGTAAACTTACCACATGGCTCTTGACAGAAAGAGCAACCAAAAGCTAAGCACTGGGCCAAAGAAATCTACAGCAGAAGCAAAGAGAAATTGCCTCAGGTAAATATATCTACGACCCTTCTTCTTTCAGTAATCATGTAACTGGATATGTCACATTGAGAGAGTTTTGGCAAAATGCAAAGAACTCACAAGTAACAAATCCACTATAAAAATGTTTAGTATTTAATACACTGAACAAAATTATAAACGCAACATTTTTGTTTTTGCCCCCATTTTTCATGAGCTGAACTCAAAGATCTGAGACTTTTTCTATGTACACAAAAGGCCTATTTCTCTCAAATATTGTTCACAAATCTGTCTAAATCAGTGTTAGTGAGCACTACTCCTTTGCCGAGATAATCCATCCACCTCACAGGTGTGGCATATCAAGATGCTGATTAGACAGCATGATTATTACAAAGGTTACATAGTTACATCGTTACATAGCTGAAAAGAGACTTGCGTCCATCAAGTTCAGCCTACCTCACATTTGTTTTTTGCTGTTGATCCAAAAGAAGGCAAAAAAATTGAAGCACAGTTTTGCAACAAGCTAGGAAAAAAATTCCTTCTTGACCCCAGAATGGCAGTCAGATTTATCCTTGGATCAAGCAGTTATTACCCTACATTGAAAGATTATATCCTTGAATATTCTGTTCTTGTAAGTATGCATCTAGTAGCCGTTTTAACATCTGTATGGACTCTGATAAAACCACTTCTTCAGGCAGAGAATTCCACATCCTGATTGTTCTTACAGTAAAAAACCTTTCCTTTGCCTTAGACAAAATCTTCTTTCTTCCAGTCTAAACGCATGGCCTCGTGTCCTATGTAAAGTCCGGTTTGTGAATAGATTTCCACACAATGGTTTGTATTGGCCCCGAATATATTTGTATAATGTTATCATATCCCCTCTCAGGTGATGTTTTTCTAAACTAAATAGGTTTAAATTTGTTAACCTTTCTTCATAGCCGATATGTTCCATTCCTTTTATTAATTTTGTAGCCCGCCTCTGCACTTTTTCTAGTGCCATAATATCCTTCAGGTGTGCCTTAGGCTGGCACAATAAAAGGCAACTCTAAAATGTGCAGTTTTATCACACAGCACAATGCCACAGATGTCGCATGTTTTGAGGGAGTGTGTAATTGGCAAATGTTGACTGCAGGAATGTCCACCAGGGCTGTTGCCTGTGAATTGAATGTTCATTTCTCTACCATAAGCCGTCTCCAAAGGCGTTTCAGAGAATTTGACAGTACATCCAACCAGCCTCACAACCGCAGACCACGTGTAACCACACCAGCCCAGGACTTCCACAACTAGCATCTTAACCTCCAAGATCTTCTGACACCAGCCACCCGGACAGCTGCTGCAACAATCTGTTTGCATAACTGAAGAATTTCTGCACAAATTGTCAGAAACAGTCTATGGGAAGCTAATCTGCATGCTCGTCATCCTCATCGGGGTCTCGACCTAACTGCAGTTCGTTGTCGTAACCTACTTGAGTGGGCAAATGCGATGGCATCTGGCACTTTGGAGAGGTGTTCTCTTCACGGATTAATCCCAGTTTTCACTGTACAGGGCAGATGGCAGACAGCATTTATGGCATTGTGTGGGTGAGCGGTTTGCTGATGTCAATGTTGTGGATCGAGTGGCCCATGGTGGTGGTGGGATTATGGTATGGGCAGGCGTATGTTATGGACAATGAAAACAGGTGCATTTTATTGATGGCATTTTGAATGCACAGAGATACTGTGATAGAATCCTGAGGCCCATTATTGTGCCATTCATCCATGACCATCACCTCATGTTGCAGGATGATAATGCATGGCCCCTTATTGCAAAGATCTGTACACAGTTCCTGGAAGCTGAAAACATCCCAGTTCTTGCATGGCCAGCATACTCACTGGACATGTCACCCACCGGACATGTTCTCTATATGGTGAAGATTCCTGACAGGTACCTCACTTGCCCTTCCGTTCTTTATTCATTATGGTATGGTACTGTTTTTTTATTTTTGCCATGATTTTTGAGCCTTAGAGGCTTCCATTAGTAACACTCCGTTTATGAGCTATAGGTGGTACGCAAGATAACCGTGAAATGGAACGCACGCATCATCAGAAGATTCCAACCGGAACTGGCGCACCGGAAGTGACATCCTTGCATTTCCGTAAACCGGAAGTGACGTCATTGCATCTGCAAAAAAATGGGAAATTCTACTAAACACAGCTGGAGCAACCGGACAACGCCCACTGGACTACCAATGGGAAGAAAAGTCTCCCATATAAAAGAAAGACTCAGGTGGAAGGGTTTATACTGCTTCTTTGATTTTATTTGCTGTTGTTATTCCACTTTGGTGGCTGAGAATACCTGGAGGTCCCTGAAAAAGTCTTTCTCGGACGAAACGCGTAAGACACATACGGCACTTTTTTATTGTGTTTTATATATTTTTTTAAAATAAAGCAGATTTGTTATATCCATTTATCCTGAGTCCAGTCTCATCATCATTGAAAGAAAGAGGAGCTGGTTTAGCCCCCCATTTTCATCAGGGGAGGAATCCATCATGTGAGTGTTGTGTTGTTTTTACATAGAATATGTAACCAGAATCTCTTTATTCTCATTCTCTCCCTCACAACTGAACTATAACCTGTGACCTATTTCCTGTTCCAGGTTACATGACAAGATTTAAAGTGAATCATCACGTTAACTATTTAACCCCTTAAGGACCAAGGGGTATTAATTACTGTAATTCTCTTCTAATTGGTGTCCCCAGAAACGTACTGCCTCCCTACAGTCAGTGCTGAATGTTGCTGCCAGGCTAATTTCTCTCTCCTGTTGCTCCTCTCACACCTCACCCCTCTGTAAATCCATGTACACTGTAGGATCCAATTCAAAATTCTAAGTCTTAACTATAAAGCTCTAAACAACTCTATACCCATTACATTTATTCAGTAATTCAGAGGTATGCCCCTTTTTTGGTCTCTTCACTCGGCTGGTGACCTTATCCAGGGCCGGCCTTAGGCCTTTAGGCGCCCTGTGTGAAACATCTTTGCAGCGCCCCCCTCTACCCTGTCATCAATGTATAGTGTGTGTATAGAAGTGTAGTGATTGTATAGGGGATTAATTAAATTAATAATGATTTAAAAATAAATATTCATTACACACACACAGTTACAGGCAGACAATTACAAACACACACAGGTAAAGATGGACAGTCACATACATACAGCCACATATACAGTGTCACACACACACACACCATTACATGCAGGCAGCCACACACACACAGGCAGACAGTCACACACACACACCGGCAGACAGCCACAGACACAAACAGCCACACACACATGCAGGCAGACAATCACACACACAGAGGCAGACAGTCCCTACACACACACACACACACACACACAAAGGCAGACAGACACAGACACACACACGCAGACAGACACACACACACACACACACACAGGCAGACAGTCACTCACACAGAGGCAGACCGTCACACACACACACACACACACACAGGCAGACAGTCACACACACACACACACACACAGGCAGACAATCACACATAGTTACCACTATTCATTATTGAACGCAAAGCCCCTCCCCCGCCGCAATGTTTATTTTTATTTTTATTTTTTTATCTTGGGTGGTGACTAATGAAATCCTCCACCCAGGTAGCCAGCAATGTGGGGCCGCACAGCTCGCACACCCCTAAGGCAGGCCCTGACCTTATCCTTTCTGCTGCTATTGTCCTTATTGTTAGCTTGCACTTGCAAGAGTGCTCGCAGGGAAAGTATCTGCCCGCGAGCAGTATCGCAAGTGCAAGTTAACAAGTTAACAGCTTACCTACTTCCAACAGAGTCTCCCCTAGTCCTCAATTATTTGAGAAGTTCCACAAAACCCATCGCTTCGGAACAGCCTACGGCCTCCAGTAGTAATTTGTATTTCACACACCTATCTCTTGCCATACTCCACAGCTTTTAAATTTTGCTACTTCCCACCCTGTCACTTGGTTGCTGCTCCCCCCACAATGCCCTTCCTATTGTGTTTTTTTAATCTTTTTTTTGTTTATTAAAGAATTGTTGTTTGAACAATTTTTTTTTTTTTTAAATTCTTTATTTTGAGTGCATGAATAGACATAACAGCTTACTCTGCCACAATAGCGTTCGCAAGCATAAACATATCACTTTGGTTTTACATTTATGGCATTCAATCAGTGCACAATTTTTGTGTATAAATGCATAAACAGAGCGTTGCTTTATAATGGTTACATTTTACAGTTAGATTTAATAGCTTAATCTGCGCTTTTTAAGATAAGTATGCACGCTAAATAAATACAGTGCTAGCAAGGTAACTGTGTGAACCATAGAGTGAAAGCACTGAGTTTAAAAGTGCAAATAAATCAACCTAGCTACACTAGCATCCTAGTTCAACATGCAGACCTCAATTTTGGCTACAAGGGAAGAAGTTTATATAAGGGCAAGCATGGTATTTAGGGTGGGCCGACAAAAAACTGAGAGGTGAGTGCATGGTTCGGATGCCTGTTTAATCCCGTTAGAGAGAGTCCTCTCAGCCTATTCCCGTGGTGATCAGACCTGATGCATGTAGGGGCAACGTGGAGTTCTCGTCTCCCCTGTTGCCGTGTCGTGCAGCACTCCCATAGCCCTTGTTGTGAACAGACTCCCGTTTTCCGAGTCCCTGTGCCTCTCTCACCGTCCCCTGGAGGTGGGTGTCGGGGTCTTGTGCTGCCGCCCTGTTTCACTGTGTTTGGGCTGCGGGTGCGTGCTTGAGCCTTCAAGGTTCCCAGCACAGGGCAGGTGTGCCAAGCCTCCGGAGTGTTGTCTGTAGGTAGCTCCATGAGTGCAGGTCTTGCTGTTGGCTTTCGACGTTCCTCCCAGCCTCTCCAGTACCATTTGCACACGTCGTTGAATTTCAGCGTGAATCCTGCTTCCCGGTTGCTGTGTTGCTGGGTAGGTTGTGCAGGTTTGCCGTCGGCCATTTTAAAGTAGGCCGCATGTGTGTCGTCTTCAGTCGTGTCGTCAGGATGCGTTGCAGGGGTAAGGAGTCGTCTGGTGGGGGCCAGGATATCCCCCGCCGGCTCAGAGGGGGGGAGTGCGGGGCACAGATTGACCGCTGGGCTGAGTAGAGACCGGCTGCACCTCCCTCCAGGTCCACGCCAGTCCACAAAGGGATGCCACAGTTGCTGTTTTGCGAGGATGTAGGGGTTAACACCCGTTCCAAGATCAATCCCGCAAAGCAGGTTTAGATTGCACAGGTAGATAAAGTACATTTTTGGGTTTTCACCCGCTTTTATAGCACATTTATTCCGATTTTTAGCAGGAGCTCAGCCTGCCTGCGACCTTCCAGGATGGCGTCCAAGCCCCGCCCCCCTCCCATTGTGTTTTTATACCCTACGTCTTTTAGATTGTAAGCTCTTCAAGCAGGATCCTCATTGTTCCTGTAAAATTTTGTAACGTTCTCATCTATTGTTAAATGTCTGTCATGGTTCTCCCCATGCCATTCTTTTGATCCTGGGTCCTTCGGTATCCTGTGCCTGCTTTCCTGCCTCTGAGCTACAGCTGAACTTATACTATTAATGTGTTTCTAGCCCTGTTTACCTTACCTTGTCTGCAGCTCTAGGGGGCTGGACTTCTCCTGTCACTTTAAGTCCACCTGAGGCAACTTGCTCAGTATCCAGGTATATAACACTGCCTCTCCCTGAAGGCAGGGTCAGTTCATTGTTTCCTGTAGCTGTTGCCTATTTTCCCTAATTTCCAGACTAACTTGGCTTGTGACCCCTGCTTTTGGATATTTTGTTATTGCCTGCCCTTTGGAACCTTGCCTGACTACTCTCCTGGATTTGCCCTTGTCTGTTTCTACGTATCCTGTTATTGTTCCTGCCAAGCCCCCGTGCACAGATTCACAGCCCAGTTTGCTTCTTACTTGGTTACCATGGGTTGAGATTATCTGCAAGGGTGAGCTAACATCTCTGCACTAAGGACTCCAACCAAGGTAAGCCCTTACAATGTCCCCTTTTATAATATTATAAAGTGCTGCAGAATATGTTGGTGCTATATAAATGATGATAATAATAATGTCCCTACATAATATAGTGTAAACACATCAATTTATCACTGATCTATGATGAAATAACAGGATAGTACAATAATGATAAACAGGGCCAGATTAAGAGCCCAGTGGGCCTGGTGCTGACAATTATGATGGGGCCTAATTACAGAATCTTATCAACCAAAAACACTAAAACAGTCATACCTCTCGAGCGTCATGTATCTGATGGAGTTGGTGTTGGAGGGAAACTCAAAGGATGCAGCTATAAGAAAACACATACTCAATGCTAATCTCTTTCTAATTTATGCTTTCATCTTTCAAGAAAATCCATACCCCCTAACAGCAGTGTCCAGTGAATCAGGAAGTCAATGGGCAGGGTAAAAGGGTGGGCCACTGACGCGAATCACGTGACCAGAACTGCCAAAAGGGGCGAACATGCCCAAAAAGGGGGCATGTCTGTCCAAAGAATTGGAAGGCCAGCCTGGCTTTAGTGTCCCTATGTATCACAGTGTCAGTGTCCCCATTTCTTCCAGTTTCCCCATTTCTCAGTGTGTCCCATGTCACTAGGATACTAGGGGACACTGAGACATGGGGACACAGAGACCCAGGGACACTGAGACACATGGGGGCACTTAGACATATGGGGGCACTGGGAGACATGGGGGCACTTGTGGATACAGACATGGGGACACTGGGAGACATGGAGACACTGGGAGACATAGGGACACTGGGAGAAATGGGGTCACAGACACTAGGGACACAGATACATGGGGATATGAATACTGGGAGACATGGGGACACAGACATTTGTTGAAACTAAGACACTAGGGACACTGAGAGACATGGAAACACAGACACTGGGAGACATGGGGACACAGACACTAGGGACATTGGTTGGGAGGCATGGGGACACAGACACTTAGGGACACTGGGAGACATGGAAGCAATTGTGGACATAGACATGGGGACACATGGGGACACTGAGACACTAGGGACACTAGCTGAGAGACATAGGGAGACTGGGGGACACTGGGAGACATGGGGATACAGACATTTGGTTACACTCTGAGACATGGGGACACTGAGAGACATGGGGACACAGACACTGGGAGACTAGGGGACACTGGGAAACATGGGGACACTGATACACTGGCTGGGAGACATGGGGACACTGTGTCCCTAGTGTCTCCATGTCCCAATGTGTTTCACTATGTCTCATAGCGTCCCCGTGTGTCTCAGCGTCCCCCTATCTCACAGTGCCCCTAGTGTCTCATTGTACCCATGTTTCCCAGTGTACCCAAGTGTCTGTGTCCCCACGTCTCCCAGTGTCCCCATGTGTGCCCTTGTGTCTCAGTCTCCCCATGTCTCCCTGCTGCCTTTACCCCAACCTTCACATACCTGAGCTGTAGTCTGTCTCTGCAGGCTGGGAGATGCTGTCTGGACTCTCTGTGCTGTGTAGCTGCTCCCCCCATGGATCAGTGAGTAGAGAGAGGCAGGTAGATGCTGTAACTTCCTATCCTTGCCTCTCTCCATACACAGTGGCCGGTACTGGTATTGCAGAGCAATCTCCATTTATACTGAGAAAAATATTTGCATTTGTTTTGCCGGTATTACTGCAATACCGTCATGGCCAGGCAGCCTCAAATGCTGGCTGAGCCTTAAAATACCAGTCAGGTGGCAGACCTAATAGTAGTGTGTAAACAAAAAAACAAAAAAACAAAAAAACATTTTTTTTTTTTTTTAATGGGCCTATTCCATGGACCTGGGCCTGGAGCTGGAGCTGCAGCTCCATCAGCCCCTATGTTAATCCGGCCCTGATGATAAATAGTACTTTATTCACCCACTAGATAATTTATTACATTAATCATACCACATTTATTATAAAAACACAAGAATATACATTTAAATCTAATAATTATAAAACATAAGAAGATATACTTAAGTTATAGATCCTAGGCAGGTTCCTGGGTCTATTTAAACACCTCTGTAATCTTTGCTTGTGTTGTAGGTAAAGTTTCTTCTTTTTTTCCAATTTTTTTTTTCTTATTTATGTTTTTGTATAACATAAGCCTTGGTCAATATTTTTTCTGCATGACAAGTAGAAAAGCAAATATAGTCGTATGAATACAAGTATTGTGGTTGTGCCACTGTGAGGCTGCGGTTGTAGTGGTGATTGCTATATCATTTCACTGCCCAATATGCCTCTCTTACTACTTAAACAAACAGACTGATGTTGTGGTGGGGCTTGCAGCCAAGGGGTGAAAGTAATATCCACAATATAAAAAGTAGTTCTGTTTCCTACCATGTTAAGCTATAATTAGTCAAGGGCAAAGAAGGGAAAAAAGAGGAGCATTAGCTATAGATGACGCATTTAAGAATACTATTAGTCGTAGCAGTTTTTCAACCTTTTAAGATATTTTACCTGAAATTACTAGCATTGACACATTGCTAATTTAGCATGTTTCAAAGTCAGCGGTAATGTTTACCTTGAAAAAGTGAAAGTTTTATTTTCATTGTAAAATTCTCTGCAATGCTATTATTTAATTTTGACATTACGTGTCAGCATTTCAAAATATTCAGTTTTTTTCCATTAGTTCATTCATTCACTCATTGTATCCTTAATTCACCCTATTAATGTGGCCTTTAAAATAAACTGCTTGGCTCTGAGGAAAGATGTGGATCCATTCTAGAATTTAGGTGTTAAAATCGATATACCACCATGTTTTTTTGATGAATTCTAGCTCTAGCTGACCGATTAAGTCACTACAGCTACAATGTCATGTGCTGCTTACCTATGTTCAGAGATTTACTTGTTCATTGAATAAATATATTATATCACCTATATTAGCATTATTTGTAGCTGGTATAGCAGTCCTTTTATGTTCTTCCTGTAGAAATCTTGAATCAGTTCAACTAGGTTCTAAAGAAACACTATAGCGTTAGGAATACAAATATGTATTCCTAATGCTATAGAGCCCGCACAATTCCACGGCAAATAATTGGTTAATTAACCATTTATTTGCTTACCTTAAGCCAGTGTCTGACTGCCTTGGGTGACCTCTCCTCCTCCATCAACGTCAGCTTCTAAAGGAAACCGAATGTGCATGTGTGGCCAGAGGCGTGCGCATTCAAACCTGCACATAGGAAAGCCTTACTAAATGCTTTCCTATGGGGATCTTTTTTGACGCTGGACTCTGTGTAAATCACGGAAGCGGTCTCAACTGGCTGTCAGGTTTCTCTGAAACTGTTGTTTTCAGCTGCATGGTTAACCCCTTAACGACCGAGGACGGTTCAGGACCGTCATCGGCATTTTTCCATTGCCGACCGGTGACGGTCCTGAACCGTCCTCGGTCTTATTTACTTACCCGATCACCGTTGTTCCCCCGGCGGCGATCAGTGTTGCTCCCAGTGTGGGGACACTGCCTGCAGTCCAGACAGTCTCCCCATGGTGGATTAGGACCCCTGTGGCCATGTGGTCGCTCAACAGAGCGATCACATGGTCACAATAGGTGTCCATGTGTCTGCCTACAGGGGGACTGTCTGTGAAAGTTAATAAAAAAAAATAAAAAAATTATATATGTGTATATAAATATATGTAGACATTTATTATATCTATATAATATGTCTATATATCATATATATATATGTATGTCATACTAAGTGTATTTTATATTAAGTACATATATTTATATGAAAATACACTTATAATTAAATTACACACGTGTGTGTATAAATATGTGTGTGTGTGTGTGTGTGTGTATATTTCTCAAGTCTGAAGCATTTCTGAGCAAAATGACCTAGATAGATAGAGAGATAGATAATGGAAAGATAGATAGAGATAGATAATGGATGGATGGATAGATAGATAATAGATAGATTTTGCTCAGAAATGCTTCAGACTTGAGAAAGGGAGGGTCTCCCGAAAGCTTG